CACTATTCCACGCGAACTAAGTCGCGGGCAAAAGCTAGTTTTTCTAGATATATATAATATCTATACTTGACTGTTTAGAGATTATTATCATTATTTTAGGAATATTCTTTAGCTAGTACGTAGGAACCTACGTAATAATTTGGATCTTAAGCTACAAATATATAATGTAATTTGGAATGTAAAACTGATTTATGTCTACGGAAGTGAAATTAATTAAGCTCGCATACGTGGCCATTTTTTATCACAGTTCGAATCAGTTTTAGATTTATAATAATAATGTGACGTTAATAAAGCTAAATTAGTAAGTAGAATTATCTTGATATTCATTGAAAAATTAGCCCTTAGTAATGTATTTATTGTAATTTACTTAGATTTGGGTCACAGTAACCAGCCATTGTGGAATGGGGCAACAGCTTTCTTTATTTGATTTTGGTCAAAGATCTTTTAGATTTTTGTTGATTGAATCAACGACAATTCGATTTTCGAATTAAACCTCTAAAGAAGTTAATTGGAATGTTCCCCTGGCTTGAGACAAAATGGCCGATTTCATATTATACTTTTTTATTTCAAAGAGAAAAGAAAATGAAAAAAAATTCTCTAATTGGGGGGAAGTCATCTAAGAGTTCTCCTATACTGGGTTTCGCGAGAGGGAGTGTCAGACTCTTACTGACTAGAAACCACCCTGTTCTTTCTCCTTTTTTGGGCCGGGGCAGCAGTTCATTAATATTCTTGCACCAGCAACTCCGGCAACAGAACCTGTGCGAAACCGGAACGCACCAATACTAGGCATAATAATAATTATGCGAATAAAACAACGATAGTATTGCCCTTGACTTTAATCTATAAGACGTTTTTGAATTGGGAGAATGAATTTCGAGGTCATCTAATATATTTGTTGTATTGTGTTACTTTTATTATAAGTAGACGGTCTCATTGATACAGTGGGATAAACATTGAGTACCTTATTAAAAAACCAAGTACCTTACTATACTTTTCGTCTACTTGAGGACTAAACTTGGGACCTCATACTCGATAGATAGACCTTGGTCATTGTAACAATGCAGATAGATGTATCATAGTGGGTTCAGGCCGACCGGAGTGATACCACGACCTCACACAAAATTAACGTGAAACAACTACAGCATTGAGTTACGCCGTTTGAGTGATTTTATAAGAGGCTCACGGGATAGGATAGGTCGGCAAACGAGCAGACGGATTACCTGATGGTAAGCAATCAGCTCTGCGCATAGATACCCGCAACAACGGAAGAGTTACGAGTGTTTTTCCGACCTTTTGGGGATTGAGGTCTGGGGATTTAGAGATGGGGGAGGGTTAGGATTTGGCCTCCGGTAACCTCACTCACGCTCATTAAAATAATAATGATCTGGAATATAGATACAGAAAATCTACAGATGTTAGAATTGGTATTATTAGGTTACAGATGTTAGAATAATTAGTATATATTAGGTACCTACGATCATTATCTCGAGGAAAACCTTAGCTTTACCTCTACTAACCTGGCTTTGCATCGCGTACCGAGGTTTAAATAGATACTGGGTTTATCCACGTATCTAACAGAAAAAGAATTGAGGCTAAAATGTATGTAGTTAGATATTTGCCTACATCTAATTTCATCTGCAGCTCATAGCAATACATTACTGGAATCGACGTGTGCCTTATTTATCGTCACAGGTAAAATAACAGGTATTACATAGATACTAGATACAGTTGCTCTCACGGGGACAAGTAACAATCAAATAACAGTTACTGTTATTTCGCAACTAAATTACAGCTCATACTCACAGGATTCAGTTATCGGAATTAAGATACCTACGTACCTAAATATAATAACGAGTAGCAAGATATCTTACATTTTTATTTTTAATTAATGTTTGATAAGTACACAAAAGAAGGCACAGACTTGATTCCTTTAGGTGACGCTCCGACTCCGATGATAGTGGCAGGAGGCATAGACAATATAATAAAGTTAAAAAGTGTGTAAGTATAATCCAATAAGACCAATGAGATAAACATTAAAAGTTGTAAACAGTCTAAAATTAGTACTAGCTACTCTCTAGCGATTCCACCCGCAGCTCGGCTCCGTTTTTGTAGCCTATATCACTCAGGAACATTGTAGCTATTTACCAGTGAAAGAATTCTGGCAATCTGACCAGCGGTCCCAAAGATTGCCCCCTACATTTAAAATTACAAACTAAAAACATACAAGCTTAAAAATTTTACCTCTTTATATTATTAGTATAGATATAGATGTCTAGGCTGATGATGACGATGAACGAATCGACTAGTTTTTTTATCTTTATTATTTTTAAAGACTTTTATAGCGCGTATATGTCAGAGAAAAATAAGTATATTAGAGGAAGTTTGAAAGTGGCGCCAGTGACTGAAAAGTTGAAAGGGAACCGATTGTCTTGGTATCTATGGCCATGAGAAAAGGAGGGATGAAAAGCATGTTACAAAAAAAGCCATGAGTACCTATAAATGTGGATGGATGGAGAGGGAGAGGGAGACCAAAGAAAATATGGATGGATTGTGTGAGAAATGATATGGAAGAGAGAGGAGTCAGTGATAGCGTGACGGGTGACAGGACAGAATGGAAGAAAAAAACATATTGCGCCGACCCCAAATAAAACGGGACAAGGGCAGGAAGATGATGATACCGTGTATATGTCAGTCCCATCGTTCCTTATAATCTACTTAAACCTATTAAATTTACTTATCAAAACTTAATTTTAATAATCTAAATAAATCAAGGGCGGTTTTAGAATTAGGTGAAGACAATACATTATTAAACATATTTAGCATAAAAAATATCTCCAACAGACTGAAATATATCACATTCTGCCAACAGATGAACAACATCCTTTATTTATTCATTTATTTAATAATTTATGTACCACACAAACAGCACAGAGGAAAATACATAAATAAAATAAGAGTACATAGGTGCTACTTCTTCCTGTTGGAATTTCTTCCAGTAGACCTGAGACAGGAAATGTAATTAAAATATAAGACACAGTGTGTAACAGAAGAGAGAAAAAAAGATCCTTCATAAGTCGATTAGTTATAATAAAAAAAATGTCGTTTATAACAATATAAAAGTGTGTCTAAACATTTTCCAATAGGTACTTAGCTGATAGACTAACCAGATGTTTTTTTCATATTTTGCCATCATTACTATAAGGTTGATCTTCTTCACATCTTAAATTGTACTTGATAGTAAAGTCAATTATTTTTCGAGTTTCTGTAAGATTTTTTTCATAACTTTAAGACTCATTTCATTCTTTACATAATTAGTATTTTACACCACCTGCTGTTTCGAGTGCATTGTTATCTAAGTAGTTATGTCACGGCGATTATGCTTCGTTCTAATTGGGTTACGTTGCATATTGACCAAGGTCAGGATGCCTAGATTAAGATACTTGTAAGATAAGACAAGAATAAATACTCTTCATTTACTTGTGCAATTAAATGTTTTACTTCAACAACAGAGTATTGTACACTTAATTGTATCTTTCTAAATAACGAAAGTATGAAGCTATTTGTAACTCGGGTAACTCTTGTCACTCTTGTGTTGTGAAATAGTTTCTTTTCCTCCGTTTTGTTACTCACTTGAATGGTAACGATTATAAATACTGAACTTGGCTAGGGCTAGTCTGGCTTGACCCAATCATCTAGTATTAAAAATCAGTCAATTTGTACACGAGATATGGTAGAATAATATGAAACTACACAATTTGTAACATCTTAATGCACTATGTTCCGTCAAATAATTATTTTCTTTCTTTCGTACTTTCTTTAGTCTACTCAGGTATTGCTTGAGCTTTTTAGCCACGACCGTAGGTATTGTCAGATACTAATAAAGGCACAAAAATGAAGCTCAGGACTTATACATTTATTGGTAAAAATGAAAACAAAATAATAACGAAAAAGTGGGTGTTTCACTTCGGGGAATCACTTCACAATCATGAATTTAAAATTACAGATGTTATTAGTTTTCCTGCTACTTAGGTACATGCTAATATGTTTATCCCCAGCCTAGTGTTAACTAGGTTTGCCTTAAAAATTACTGTTGTGATAATATTTATGATATTCGTTACATCTGAGTTCAATAGCGGCGGTGCTGTGACTTTATGTGAAAAATTCAAAGTAAATGTCACAGTACATCTTTAAAATTTGTATTTTGTGTTCCGTGTTTAAAACAATGAATAAAAAGAAAACATACTTGATATTATGATGTTCTTCTCAATTTAAATGTTGTAAGATTTTTTTTTACGTTGGAATATTTTGCTAACGAATTAAGCTCGCTATGTGCTTGAAGAAAATCGAAATTAAATAGAATTTAGGTATCTATTTATGTCTCGATTGTTTTTTAAATCACAGACTAACAAATAACAAATAAGGTACAAATGAATTCCTAATAAAATGATGAATTGAGGAAAATATTAGACACGACCGCCGCTTGGCCTGTTGTAGTTGGCTTAATTATACAGATAGGTTGGTAATCTAATGTAGGAACATACATAAGTAGGTATTTTGGTTAAAGGACACTTTGTTATTATTCCTTCAGGAATTATCCGTTCCGTATTAAATGCCCTTGTGTGGAGTATAAAGGAATACCTACATAATTTATTAAATATTTTTTTTTGTCAGAGTAAAGTCAAAAGTTTTTACTTAATGCCCAATTTATATAAGTGTTGTATTTTTTTATTGCTGCATTTTTTATGTGCTTGGTCGGCAAACGAGCAGACCGTTTAGATACCTGATGTAACAGAGGAGTAACGAATGCGGGATTAGGGATTTCGAGATTTAGGGTTTGGGAAGGGTTGAGGAGGAATGGGCCTCCGGTTACCTCACTCACACGGCGAAAGACAACTCTGTAATTGTTTCACGCTGGTTTTGTTTGAGGCCGTGGTATCACTCCCGTCGGTCCAACCCATTTAAAGCCCGCATTTAAAGCCGTGTTTTTTTTTTATTTCCAGGTGCTCCTTTTGTTGGCTGCAGTGAGTTCTCACAAGTTCGTGGTCGGCTTCTGTTTGGGTGCCGAGCTCTGCGAGAATTTCCCGTCTCGGGCTTGTGCACACGTTCTGTGTATAGCTCTCTTCAGTGCAGGATCCGTCGCTGGAATCGGTATTGGCGCAGGATTGGAAACTGTCAATTCATTGAAGGAATCTATTGCTGTGCCGGTCATGCAGGTATGATTATTGATGATAAATAAATTATACTTAATAAGCTTTTATTCAGACCACAATTAACAATATTATTAAATATAATTTACTTAATCTAAAAATCTGACGAGTTGGTGACACAACCTGGTCTGTTTGCCCAACTTTGGCAAAGGCCCCTTCCATTTCCCACCATTCTTCTCTATTTTGAGCTCTTCTAGTTCATATTTTCCAGTCCATGATTTAAATTAAGAATAATTTAATATTAACATCAGGTTCTTAAAATAGATGACGAAAATAAGTATACGTACCTACCTAATGAGTGTTTGATTAAATTTGTGTCCGTTACTGAAACAACAATGAAACAATGAAACAATGAAACAATGAATTTATTTTTGCAAATAGGCCATACAACGGCACTTTTGCACGTCAATTTATATGTGAAAAACTAGATGAAGCCGGCTAAATACTGCAGTTTTACCGTGACGCTCTGCCATAAGCGAAACGACAGAACCACCTAGAGCTTAATTTAAGATTGTCTGCTGTTACCTATTTATTGGACAATCTTCTATTGTACATTTAGGTATCAAAGTTTCTAAGTAGACACCCTATGGAAGTTATTTTTATACATAAATAGAAGTAATATTCAGTATAAGATTTAATTTTACATATTATGAAGGTCGTGGAACACGTTTCTTAGCATACAAATTTTAGAGGTAGTCACAAATTAAAAAGAAAAGTGGAGATATTAATATAACAAATCTAGCGCCATCTAGTAATATAACTTTGTAATGATTTGCAGGGTTTGGCAGCTGGTACGCTACTGTACGTTACCGTTAGTGAAGTCCTTCCCCGCGAGAGGGCGCGCTGGCATGAGCGCAAAAGGAGCGCAGGATTGTTACAGTTCCTTTCCGTTGGACTTGGTTTTGGTTTGATGTATTTGACCACAATATACTTGGGTAAGTTAATTTTCATTTATTAGACTTTCGAGTAATGAGAATATTTAATTAATTTGAGGTTTATATTTACGAATTCGTTATAATAAGCTGTCTTCTAACAGCGCCATCTGTTATAGAATAGCAAAACTGAATGATTTGTAATTTTTCAACCGTTTTATAATCTACAATTTTCTTTTTTTTCAGATCACGACGCTGAATAATAATTATTATTTAGGAGTTAAAGTTAGAGGTGTGACGTTAAGTACTTAATTGTACTGTAATTGCGTTATAAATGAAGACTTGTATTTTTATTATATTATTAGGAACAGTTAATTAGTTGTGTAATGTTCCACAATATCATTAATATCAACTGAATTTGATAAGACTCTGTGTTAATACCTGACATAGTTAGGTAACGACCAGGAAATAGGAAGGTTTACGCTATAATGTAATAATAAATTTTAAATAATTAGATACCTATAAGGATTATTCGAATATAAGAGGACAATAAAAGATTTTTTTGCTATTTCAGATTTTTATTTTATTTAAAGTTTTGTTTTTGATGTCAACAATAAAATAACGTATAGCTGTTGTGATGATGGATAACATTGTTATAATAGTTTGCAGTGATTTGTAATTACTTATTTAAATATTTTACAGGTATGTATACCAACTATGACACATTGCACTTGGGTATTATTATTTTGTTATTACATAGATTTTATTGATGTAAGCATCTCGATGGTAAGTACATTGAATGTCAACTGGTAATTGAAATATAACACATTTTTATCAACACCTTTACTGAACCTTCAGTAACCCAATAAATCATTTCATTGACTTACTTATTTATAATTAATTAAACATGGCACTGTTCTGCGTAATGTTAGATAAGGAATAGTATGGGAATACAGCGCCATCTAATAATTAACACACGAACTGATTAGTTGTAACTACTCGTCAACAGATGGCGCTGCATGTGGTATTTAATTTTATTGTCGATGGATAGCGATATCTTATTATAAAAATATTCTCTCGTTCTGTTATTACACATCTAAATGCACAAAATAATCTCAGTCCACAATACTATTGCGTTATTTATATACATCAATTATATTTTATGGAAGCGATTTCTACGTACAAACTAACATTCATACTGTATATCGGAATACCTCGTATTAAACAGTATAAATAAAATGAAATTAATCCTTAAAAATATAACTACATTTTTAAATACAATAAAAGTATTACAAAATAGAAAATAATACAGATCTTTGACTCGACGCACTTATGTCTAAGAAGTAAGTACTGTTACAAATAATAACAAAAAAATTATAAATTGTTAACTTTGAATAAATATTCTTAATTTTAAAAGGGAAGAGAGCATTATAATCAGTGGAACGACTTTATCTGGCAATGATCCTCATGTGAAACAAATAGTTGAAGATTTCTGAAAATTTTGAGTAAACTTACTAAAGAGCATCGAAAATAACCATGTGGCACAATATTATAAATTATCATACTTAATTGATGTAGGTTCTGCAGGACTAATTATTATTTAAATGTTATGAAAGCGATTAATCATCTAACCAATTTAAAAATTAATACAATTTTGTTTGGTCATGGCATCACGCGTAAACAACTAGACTGATTTTGATAAGTAACCATTTTCATACTGTTTTTGTCAGGAGGAAATTATAGAAGTCAGAGGCAAAAATCGAGCTCCTGCTATACTCCCGACGCCGTGGCCGGTCACTACCAAAACAAATGACTGATACCTAGTCAACCAGACACCCGATCGAAGCAGTGGCAGGCCACTAGTTGTATGAAACAACTAGCTTCCGCCCGCGGCTTCACCCGCGTGGTATGTTGATAAAAAGTAGTCTATGTCTTGTTCCGGAGTGTACAGCCGTTTTGGCGTGACTGAGTAACACACATCCAAACATTGTAAAATTTGAACTATAGAAAGCATATGACATTAAGGATCAATGATCAATAAACAACAAAATTTGTTTCGCAGATAAAAAGGTGGGTTCCACAACAAAAGAAATTGTTTCACAAGAGAATCATTGTGACTCCACTACGGCTTATTGAAGTGATCACAGACTGCTCTTTACTGTTATTTACAACGAAAACTATGTACTACGTACTGCTAATACGACATATAATAGAAATACTAGCAATTAAAAAGAAACACAAAAGATACTAGATAGAAATGATAAGCAAGCTATTTCAATTAATTGTTTCAAAGAGAATAAAATTGTTCTAGCAGTAGAGTTATGAAACTGCATGATACTGATATGCTCAACATCTGGACGAACCGCTAACTTGGAATGGAATTCCGAGACATTATTTGGGAAATGGCCAAGCGTCGGAAATACAAGCTTAGTGAACTAGTGCATGGACCATTCTGTTCACAGTGTCGTTCGCAGTACGAAGTACATTTCTGACGTTGTTTTTTAACTTAAAATTATTTGAAAGTGTAGCGACAGCGCAGTGAAGTCGTATTACATCTATGCACCTCGATCAACCGGTAACTATTACATTATCGTGTAGTTTGTAAGCGAGAGTCACACGAATATCATTTTGTATGAATATTAAAGAAAATGTAAATGCCGACACACGTTAATTACATCGCCTCGGCAACAAAACTTGTGATGATTTTCAATTACATTTCGAATATTAAAATTGTACAATTCGTGTGACTTTAGTCTTTACATTTTAATACTTAACATACAGATAACGCATTGGAATCAAAATTTCAACAATTCCCAGAACATAGTGAACTATTTAAATCTAAGGCACTAAAAGGCACTTTAATTTCATAAGATCGAGACTAACTAACGGACTACAACAAGAAGCGTAATATAGACGAAAAGTAAAATAAATACATTGATACATCGACCGACAGCAGAGTACCGCTCAAATGTGCACTTGAAGTAGGTAACGAGAAACGTCCGCAGCTCGCAGCGCGGCTCCAACATGGCTGCGCTGCTGCTCTGTACACGACACTGTCCCGAACCGAAGAGAAAACATCAGAAAAGGTATCTTTGTAAACGTAATACTAAGGGACGATCCCAAATTTGTTCAAAGTCACGAATTCACTAGCACTGAGCCCGGAATCAGGTCTCGTCGTCCTCCACTACCCTCCTATTCCTTTTCCTCTGCTTGTGTCTTCTGCGGGCGGGCTTATTTGTTTTGGGTTTAATTTGGCACTCACAACCGGCGCGCACTCGCACATAGTCCATGGACCAGCCGCCGGAGCCGGGCACGGAGAAGTGGCCCTCGGTCCGCGGCTGCGGCGTCTCCGTCGCGGCCGAGTGCAGGTAGCGCACGAGGGCGTACGAGTACGAGTACTTCTGGATGCACCTCGACTCGTTGTACAGTCGCGCGTCGACGAAGCGGCACGGCTTGTCGACCACGTTGGGGGCACACGACACCTCGAACAGTCGCTGCTGGTTCTCCCCGTCCTCGTACAGCTCCACGTAGAGGCCGGTGGGTGTGCGCCCTCCCTTCTTGGTGACCATCTCGAGGACGGAGGGGCAACACTGCACGCCCTCCTTCTGGTTGCCCTCGCGTCGGAGTATGGACTGCATATCGCGCCAGTGCGAGCGCTTCCACGCCGCTGCCGCAGTCATGTCGAAATCCTCGTCCGTCCTGAAAGCCCAAACATAAAACTATCAGTATAAATATACAAGAATGTAGACGTGTCTTGAAGTGGAATATTTGTTAGATGCCTAATATCTATATTTAGATCAGTTGTAATATTTAACTAGGTAATACTGGTTCCAGTCAATAAAGCAAATACGAGTGACAACTAGTAGTAAGTATAGACCGTGCAGTTACCAGGCAAACATGAAATAGGTGAAGGTGATACTTACACGACGCGGTGCGAGTAGTGAGGCTGTGGCGCGCGGCGCACGCGGCTCACGTTGGCTATCATGTCGCCCGCGTCCGCCACTGCACCACACAGCACCTGCAGGAAAGAAAATTACATACAATAATATGTTTCTGTAGAAATAACATCTTTACAATCTTTAGACAAATAATTATTTTATTAAAAAAAAATCGAATTAAATCCAGAACAATATTTTGGTAAATCCCGATTTACCAAAATATTGTTCTGGATTTAATTCGAATTAATAATATAAACTAAGGCTTGGAAATAAATGACGAGTAACGAGACGGGAGATAAATGATGAATTCAATTCATCATTCTCATTAACTAAGAACTACTTATAAAATATCTAGCTGCCATCCTGTTTCTTTATAAGTATCGTCATCAAAATAGGCGCATTAAACATAATAATACATCCTGCTAAACATTGGATTGAATACCAACAACTTAAGGAAACATTGACAAAATATTTGCAATATCAGCCAAAGCTTTATGCTCCAGGAAGTATTAAAAAGATTACATTTTTGTAAAAACAATAGAATGGAAACACCCACTAGAGCTAAAGATAGGTAGCTATGTTTTAAAATTCCTATCAAGGAATCTTGAATCGGATATAAGAATTAAGAATACTGAGAAATAGTATTCATTATTATAGATTTTGCAAAGATATCTAAAATTAAAGAATTCGTTAACAATATAATCAGATAAGTTCACATTAATATGCTCAATATTAAGATAAAATTCCTAAACCGTGTTTTAGGAAATGATTTAATTTTATCAGTTAAGTTCAATTTTAATCTTTGTTATCTATTTTATAAGGTTTATAATAATTGTTCTCATGATTTGTTATCAAAGATGTGCGACTAATTTTTATGATATACTGCGTTAGCCTGTTCTAATTTATTCTGAATAAAAGTTTTTTCAGAAATCAGTTCCATGCCGAAAAAAAAAAGATTAAGAGTATCATAAAAAGTATCTTAATAACTTTTTTTTAAAGACATTTTCTTAATTTTGCACCCAAGCTTAATTTTGCAGCTCAACCTCACCCATCCTGAAGGGTTGCGGGGCAAGCGCAATAAGGCACCCGGCCTTGGCCCAGAGCAGGACAAGGAACGGAGGGTTTTTAGTCAATAAGAGTCTGACACTGCCTCTCGCCTCTCCCTAGGCAGGAGCTGGCATTTTTTATGGAATAAATCGGCAAACGACTATATGGATTGCTTGATGGTAAGAAGTCGGCGCCTCCCATGGACATTCGCAAAATCAAAGGAGTTAGTTACGAGTGCGTTGCCGGCCCTTTAGGGATAAGGGATATTTAAGGATTGGGGAGACGGGGTAGGCCTCTGGTGACCTCACTCAATCAGCGATACAGAACGCTGTGGTCATGTCATTTGATCATTTTCCCCCCACAAAAAAAGCTATTACCCTCTCTCAAAAGAGCGACAGAGAGGAAATAAAATTGAAATCGAATAGTAGTAGAATTATGAGAATACTTCATAAAACAAACATGATATACCAAATAGAGTACAAGACAGAACTACATTTGAGACACTGTAAAGACATAATTCACATGCCAAGCATTTGTAGACATCATATTTAACAACAGCTGTCACAATTTCAGTCCACTGTATCATTATTATGAAACAACAGTTCCTACGAAACATTACAATATTATTTTCACACCTCTACCATCCGCTGTCTATAGAATATCAACTCTAAACAAAGGTAAAAGGACTGGGTTTTGAATAAACGTCAGCTGTAAATTGAAATGCTTGGTGGTTTTGAAATTGGAATCGGGAGTTGACGATGTTTGTAGAGATTTATAGTTGATGTTTTTAAAAACAAAAGACAAAATAGTGAAACGCACAGGTGAAAAGGTTGATGGAAAGATAAATGATAGAAAATGATAAAAATATTTTTGGTGGTGCTGATTTTGGAATGATATTATTACGTGCCTGACGTCACGTTCCTGACTATGCGGGCTTGGGTTACGGGATTGGATGAAATGAAACACTAATACCAGATTTCAGACTTTCTATTGCACTTAAGTTACAGCGTCCACGGAGTTAAGTTATCGGCGTTCCTCTCCAGCAGAGTCCGGCCGACTGACACAACTTTGCCGTTCACGCTGACTTAACTCACTTAACTGACTGCACTTCACTATTTTCACTGCACTTCACTATTTCACTCACTTTTCTTCTTTTTCACTTCTTCCTTTTCTTCCGAATCGCTTTAGACTTAGAACTCAACTGCCAGCGGTGAGCCGCAGTTCCGCTTATATACCCCCGGTTCAGGTTCTGGAACATTCAATTTCGTTATTCTTTTTGATCGTCATGACTCCAGAACCTTCCAATAATTTCGTTACTCATTTTTATTTATTCTCCTTCTCGCTCTTTAATTTTTCATTTCTTTCACACAAATAATTCCAGAAAGTTCCACAAAACTTCTATCAACTAAAAAACTACATGTTTACGGCGGGACTCGAACTCGGGGTCTCTGTGGTGTAATCCACACGCCTTACCGATTACACCAACTCGTGTTGACAATTCACGACGAAATTTACAATCTCTAGGCAACGTTTGACAACCATCCATTGACGTCATGATGTCAAAGAGGTTGAACCACTTTTCCGTCACACTGCCCCCCTCTTAGATTTGCTCGTCCCGAGCATCGTTGCTGCCGTAATACTTCGCCAACCTGTCTATATGGACAACTTTCAAAGGGCTCCTTGAAGTCTTCCGAATTCTGTAAGTAATGTCATTGATCTTCGTGACTATCTCATAAGGACCTTCCCAACTCGGTTGCAGCTTCGGAGATTTTCCCTTCCTTCTGACTGGATTATGAAGCCAGACCAATGACCCTTCTTCAAACCCAACAGAATTGGCTCGTCGATCATAGCGCGTCTTTGCGCGATCACTAGCTTGAAAACCGGCCTCCCTGATCTGCTCATAAATGTCCAACATTTTTGCCCTTAACTCGCTTATGTAATCGCTAAACTCGGCGCGAGAGTCGCCAGGTGGACAGCCCGATACAAGATCTGCCGGTAATCTCAATTCCCTTCCAAAATTTGCAAATGCAGGCGTCTTTGCGGTACTTTCATGTACAGCAGTCCGATAGGCAAGCAAGAAGAGAGGTATGTAAGTGTCCCAATCTCTCTGATGGCTGTCAACCACCTTTGCTAAGTGTCGCTCCAATGTTTGGTTGAAGCGTTCGACCATTCCATCTGACTGTGGATGATAAGGGGTCGTTCGAGTCTTATGGATTCCCAAAAGTTTACAAGTTTCCTGAAAAACTTGGGATTCAAAGTTCCGTCCTTGATCACTGTGCATCTCCAAGGGTACTCCAAATCGGGTGAATACTTCGTTTACCAACTTCGTCGCTACAGTTACTGCCTCTTGATTCGGTATGGCAAAGACCTCCGGCCATTTTGTAAAATAATCCATAACCACTAAAACGTAGCGATTGCCCGAATCAGTGATTGGAAATGGTCCAGCGATGTCTAAGGCTATTCTCTCCCAAGGCATACCAACATTGTAGATTTTCATCGCCCCCCTGCTCCTTGTTTGTGGACCCTTGACAGCTGCACAACTAGTGCATTTCCGGCACCAATCTTCGACGTCATATTTGCAATGCAACCAATAAAACCTCTCCTTGATCTTCACCAAAGTCCTCCTAATTCCCAAATGTCCTCCAGAAGATCCATCATGGAACGCTTTTAATACATCCCTTATTTTTGAACGAGGCACCACCAATTGCAAATGCTCGTCCTTGCCGTTTGTTGATTCCCATTTCCTGCACAGAAGTCCGTTATGCAGCGTAAGGCTTTTCCACTGTGCCCATAAACCTTTCGTTACCGCGCTATATTGGGCGACGTCACTCCAACTTGGCTTGTTACCACTTCGTAGCCACTCCAGTATTGGTTTAATATCTGCATCTCTTTCCTGTTCTAATTTCATCGCATCATTTCCCCATGCCTCGTCAACAGTATCAGTCCTTATCACCTTAAGAAAAGCAGTTTCCTTCTTAGCACAATGTTTGCAATCTTCCACGCATGGGCGTCTCGATAATGCATCTGCGTTGCCATGAATTCTTCCGCCGCGATGTTCGATTTCAAAGTCAAATTCCTGAAGTTGTTCCAGCCATCTGGCTACTTGGCCTTCGGGATCCTTAAACTGAAGCAGCCATTTCAAAGCAGCGTGATCAGTTCTGATCAAAAATTTCCGTCCCAGTAAATACTTCTTGAAATGGTGCAGGGTTTTGACTACGGCCAGCAATTCCCTCCTGGTCACGCAATAATTCCTCTCTGGCTTGGATAGTGACTTGCTGAAGTAAGCAATAACCTTCTCCTGCTCACCATCGCGTTGTGAAAGGACACCTCCTATTCCAATATTGCTGGCATCCGTATCAACTACGAATATTCCTTTCGCGCTGGGATATCCGAGAATTGGTGTGTTACAAAGCCGTTCTTTTAGTTCTCGAAAGGCTTGCTCACAATCCTCGTCCCAAACAAAGGCACGTTTATCCTCTGTCAATCGATGCAATGGCTTGGCAATGTCCGAGAATCTTTTCACAAACCGCCGATAATACGAGCACAATCCAAGAAATGCCCGAACTTGCGTTTTGTCTTTAGGTGTTGGCCATTCCTTAACAGCGGCAGTCTTGGCTGAATCAGTCTCAATTCCTCTCTCAGAAATAACATGTCCTAGATAATTCACTTCGCGCTTGAAGAAAGAGCATTTCTTTGGACTCAACTTTAAATTTGCTCCACGCAGCTTGCCGAGTACCTTTTCCAATTTCCTTAGATGATCGTCAAAATCCCGTCCAACAATGATGATGTCATCGAGGTAAACTAGGCAGGTTTCGCCCAGCAGTCCCGCCAGCACCTGTTCCATCAAACGCTCAAAAGTTGCCGGTGCATTGCATAATCCAAATGGCATCACCTTAAATTGCCAGAGTCCCTTCCCAGTTGAGAATGCGGTCTTTTCCTTGTCCTTGGGATCCAAATCCACCTGCCAATAGCCGCTTTTCAGATCGAGCGTTGAAAACCATTTCATGCCACTCAATGTGTCAAGTGTGTCATC